CTGAGTTAGAATTTATGACTGCATTGAGCTCTGAGCAAGAAGTGTCTGGTGCAGACTGGATGTGGTGTTCCACTGTACAGCAGCTGGTACAGATTGCCTTTAAAAAAGTTTATGATAACACTTCAACTCCGATCTAAAATATAACTCATATTTCCCTCATGGCTAATCCCCTCTCTGTGACCTGGGAGATAATGAATTGTTTTTCTCCCTGCTGCAGGTGGTCAGTAGCCTTATCACCTCTCCCTTTGGTACCTGTGGAGCACAAGGGGAAGTTAAGAATCACTCATTCCTTTCAAATTGTATTATTCATTAGCTGAACAAAGTTAAATGTGGAGCAATTGTTTTCAGCTAGTCTTGGAGTCTGACTTCTATTTCAGATCTGCAGATGGGGTTTGCTGTTCAAATGCTTGTTTCCCTCTTCCCCATGTAAGCTATTATGAGTCAGCTGGGCTTCATTTAGAGGTTAACGGTGCTGAGAAGGTGTCCCTGTTCCCTTTGCTCAGAGCCATACAGTGCTGTATGATTTTTTTTATGTGCCGGTATTTGCTGTCTCCTCGACGGGCTAACTTGGCTCAAACACTGGCTAAGTTAGCTCTTGGCTGGTTTGGCACCAAAGTTGTTTTAAAGGAAATGGCAAGCACACATGGTCAAGAGGAAGCAGTATTGCGCCTTTGCATCAGTTCATTTGTCTTGTGAAATATTTTTCTGACTGTGTCCATTGACCTAAGAAAAGTCCTGACCTTCTGTTAGAAACTTACTCTGACAATACACCTTACTTATATCTTTAGGCTACCCTGGCTGTACTGAAATGTGCGCGTGAGCTCTCAGGAGAGATGAGTTTGTCAAATGTAACAAACTTAATTCTACTCCTCTTGAGGTTATGTCTGTGTGCTGTATTGATGCTGTGTAAAGACACTCCTGTTAAGCCTTTCTTTAGGGATCAAGGCATTACATTTCATGTGTAAAGTGCTTCTGATAAACTAGATTTCCCAAAATCTGCAGGGTTGTTTATGCTTCTCTGGTCTGTTTCCTGCTTGGTTTGTAAGATGTTTACTACATTATACCATCAGTCAGATTAGCATTCTGGCACTGCAGGGCCACATAGATTTTAAAATGCATTTACTCTCTACATATGTAGCAGAATTTAGCAATTTGATAGAATAGTTATGCATTTTGAGGTTCACTGCATTATTTTCTTATATCTGTTTGTCGGTGTGATTATTCAGATTTTCTGTTTATTTGGAAGAAAATACTGTTATTCTTATTAAAATATATTTTTACCTTATATCTTTAATATTTTTATTTAAATACCTACTCATTAAATAAGTAGTCCCTTTTACTTGTATTTTAATGTCCTTTAAAAGAAATGATTCCTTTCTCTGTAGAATGCTGTGTCTATGTCACTATTTACCTGCGTTCAGAGCAATTTGGCACTGAGCAGGCTTGCCGGTCTGAAAGATATGTTCCTTCTATCACAAGCTATTGGGTTTGATGCAAGAATTAATGGAGGGACTTGTTTTGTGCGAACGATCAGAATAGAGAATCTCTTGAGTTTTCTTCTGGTCTCAGTTTAGGTGAAACAAGCTCGCTCTGAAATAATGTGTTACTCAAAGTATGACCAACTTACGCAGTTGCGTGGAACTTGAGAGGTGGCCTGCAAAGCAATAAGGATATGTCTGCTTGCTGTTGTGTGAGAGGTCTGTGGGCTGGCTTGGAGAGGGACGATGCATTGGTGCTCTGCAGCTCCTTGTGGTGTGAGTGAGCCAGTTGGGTGCTATGCCTGACCTCATCAGTCCTTTGCAGAACTAAATGTGCATGAACACCAGATAGCATTCCTTAATTTACCAGAGAAGTTTTTTGAGACTGTAGCACTTGTTACTATGGCAGTGAGAATCTGGGATGTATGCAACACTGTAATACAACAATTGCTATTATCCTGAAATTATGCTTTTTGACTTGGAGGTGTGGAGGGTATGGGACACTCACCTGTTGCACTGTAATTTACTTGCTGGGTGAATGATGGAACAGAAAATAGTAGAGGTGGATTGAGGACACATGTTAAAAAGACAAGGTTCTAACCCAGGCACCTGCTTTCCAGAAAAGTGTTCCACGATATGGATGTGCCTGGGATTAATACTGAACTGATGCCGTTTTACAGGAAGATGGATCACAATTCTGTTGCAAGGACAGGTCCTGGGTTTAGTCCCTCCTTCCATCTCTCTTTGGTTTAAAAATTTGTGTATAAATGCTATAAAATTCCATCTTCTTGGCCATGAATGTTGAATTCAGTGCTATGTTGTCCAGCCACTAAAATATCAGATAGCTCTAAGGAACTGTAGTCCTTCTCTGTCAGGATTGTGTGAAATTTAAAAGGTCTAAAGCAGCCCATGCATGTGATCTCGGCCAAAATGTCACTGCTTATTGGCACATGCCACGGCAGGGACTATTTTGCAATTGTGCCTCAGGAGATGCATGATGGTTTTGTGAATCATTTTGCTGAAATTCCACTTCTGTAAGCCCTATGTGCCCCTCCTCCCCCCAGTTTAGGATAATGTGATTTGTTTAAATAACTTCAGTGTGAATTTTTTTGTGGGTAGGGGAGACCCAGAATTCTGTGTGGGTATGTTATCCACAGCAGTTACTGAAATGTAGTCCCAGCATCAGCAAAAGAATGTAGGCAAGAGATAACTGTGGGGAGGTTAGCAGTTCAAAGAATTTCTTCTGTAGATGCTTCAATATTTTTAATCTTTAAATCAGAACTTTTGTGTTTTCTTTTTAAGCTTTCCCAAGCAATAAAGATGTTATAAGAAACCCCCCAAAATCTTTGCAGAACAAATAATTGGCCATGAGTTTGTTCAAGTACAAAATACAATGCAAAAAATTGAGGGAGATTTTACATTTTTAGAGCAGGTCAAGATTCTGTGCAGAAATCACAAAGTGAGCAGTCATTAAAGAGATGGTATCTTTTAAAAGAAAACTTTGTGAATCTGCAGTATATTTCCTTCCCTTCCCTTCCCCTTTTTTCCATTTCCTCTGGAAAGCTACTTTAGTATCACCAGATTTTGGTCTCACAGCCTAACAGGTAGATTTGATGATTATCCTGGTGGTATTTTTAAAAAATACCCGTACAACTTCGGAGCAGAAGTTGCACTGAAAATCATTGGCTTGTGGTACTAACTCATATAGTCACTTTTGAAAACTGCACTCAGCTGTTTTGAAATTTCTCTTAATTTGGAGGATCACCACTTTTTTGCTGATCTCCCAGCATTTACTTTTAATTCTGAATGGAGAATCTGTCCTTGAATTACATGGAAAAATGTAATTCCTGGATGAACAGATCCATTTAGTCACTGTACTTGTGGGAGCAAGAAGTTTGTAGCAGAAAATGGGTGTACTCTGGTGCTAAGATTTCTTGTTGGCAGTACTGGGAGAGGGCAGAATCTTAACATGGGGGCTTGTGGACATAGTTTTAGCTTGATTAGAATGGAGGGGAGAGTCTTGCTTTTGTTTCAGTGGGGTGAGATTCAATTCCTTATTTTTTGTTGAGATTTCTGGAGAGGAGAAGACAAAGAGGAGAACTCTGAGTATATTCATCAGGCACTGAAAAAACAGGGATTGTTTTTTACCAAGTCTAGATAAAATTTGAAACCCAGCTTTTTGGCCATCCCTTTAAAGACATTGCAATTTGAAAAAGCTCTAATGACTTTTTTCTTCATGATGCTTTGCTTTCTCTACTCTTATGTGAGGTTGAGTTAGTCCATAGATACCAGAATTTTCCATTAGTGCATTTAGACAGTGAAGACTGTGTCTAGACTGAAAGGCAAGAGGCAGACTTGCTGAACCCTTAGAGCTGCATCTTGTGTGCTTCACATCCCCAGCTTTTATCAAGTTGGGAGGTTGGGTGTAAGTGACCCACATAATTCTTGGAAGAAGCCAGTCCCAAAATGTCTGAGGATGGAAAGGGTCTACCCCATCTGGTGCTACCTATGTCCAGTTTGCTCAGATAATGAGAACAAGAGTGCTAAGGCTTGAAGGTGCTCAAGATTTTCCTCCCTTCAGAAGATTAGAGTTAGTGGCAGAGTCTGGTCTTGAGAATGGGCTGAGGTCCCTGCAATGCTCTGAGTGTGGAAAAAAAAACCAATATGCTGAAGCCTGACTAGATGGCCTAGAAAGGCCTTCATCAAAGTAGGGAGCTGTCATAAATATTAGATTTTAATAGTTTGTTCTTGATGAAAGTTCTGAATTTGGTATATGGCTTGTGAAACTCACTCTTAAGAACTTCATGTAGTAAGTTAACCTGCTGATCATGCATAGCTGAGAGAGCCTACTGCACATGACAGGACATTAGCAGAGAGAGGTTGCTCTGGTAGATCAAAACTGGAACAACAGCTGAAGAAAGGGTAGGTGTTCAACCTGTGAAATCAGGTAATTCTATGTTGTAGGATAGAGAAGAAAGACTGTGGAAGTAAAACCGTCACCTTGGTAAAAATAGGTAAGAAAGCTGATGATTTTGGCAGGAAAGCCAGCTGCAAAGTAGAATGGTAGCAAAAAAAAAACCTCTATGGAAACATCAAAACCAGAGCAGCTTCGTAACCCAATTAGCCTTATTTTTTTTTGTATTACTTCCATTCTTAGTTTCAGCCAAAGTTGGCTGTATCCAGGCTATTCTTATGGTGTGTTCATCCAACCTGTGTCAGAAAGAAATTTTTGTGTTATTTCTGGTCCAGTTTTGTAGAGAGTCAGAGGAATGTAAAAACATCTAAGAGTTTATTTGATTTTCCAAGCTAAGTTATTGGGCTTCTCCAGATTCCTTTTTTTTTTTTTTTGAGACTTTTTTTTTTTTGACAGTATTATGCTAGTGTTATGGAATGTCATCTTATCTGTGAGGTACAGGCATTGCTTATATATTGTATGTACTGACTAGTCAATTCAATATATGCTTTGAACCAACTATTAAATGGTGATACTTTTGTTCTAAATATATTGTTTTGATTTCACAGGTGCCTGCATAAATATCACCAACAGCCAGTGCCAAATGCTGCCATATAACACCACTATAACTTCAGTTCTTTCCATTGTCAAAAGTATTGAAATGGAAAAGTTCCTGAAGTTCTTCAGTTATCTCAATCGTCTCAGCTGCTATCAACACATCATGCTGTTTGGCTGTAGTCTTGCTCTTCCTGAATGCATCAGTGACGGTGATGACAGGTATTTGGGAATGAAAATCAGTCAGTGACTAGAGCCAATTGTGGTAAAATACTCTCTGTCTAATCAGACAAGGGAAGATCCAGACTAAGACTATGATCTTCTCATTGCAAAACTCCTGTCTGTCAAAGCTATTCACAACATTTTTGCCATGATAAGCCAACTGCAATAGAGTTCTCTTAAAAAAAAAAAAAAAAATTGCCACTGTATGGAATAAAACTGTGATATTAGGGCAGTCAGGCTTATTTTCTTAAAAAAAGGCTGTCCAAAATTCTTGTACCTCATTTCTCCAATCTGGATGTGCCGAAATAGAATGCTTTGTAAAAACGTAAATGCATTGGGTATTTATGGTATTGGCATGAAGTGTGGTGGCTGTTAGTTAAATTAAACTTCAATTTTTTTAGTCTTTTCCATCAGAAAGTTAATATTTAAAATATATTTTATGGTATTAGATTAGCAGGGTGTATTCAGAGTGACACAAACTTTTGGAAGATTAAGATGTCTTGTTTTCTGCATTTACATAATCACACAGCATTGGTATCGTGTATGCACTTTTTTCATTGAGCTTGATTTGAAAAAGGATCAGTGAGTTTAACAGTGCTAAAATCAAAATACAGCACACAAAGGAATAAAAGGGTTTTGTTTTTTTTTTTTTAATATGTGCACAACCTTTGATGTTTCTGGAGAGGTGGTAGATTTCTTTCTCCTTTTTTTCATTTCTCCTTGTTTCCAATTTGTCCACTGTGAAATTCAGTGGAAGAAAATATGGCAATTGAATTAAGTGATTCAATTAACATAACAACCAAAAAGCTGAAAGCTGTGTGGTTTAGAAGGGGTAGGATTCTTATGAAAAAAGTTCTATGAGGTGAAGCAAGCTGGTCTAAAATATAGTTGCCAATGAAAAGTACAGCCCTACTCAGGGCAATATATGCCTGCCATTTCCATTGCACCGGAGTGATTCCTGGGTTGGCCAATTAAGCTCATTAAACTGACAGAAAATTAACCCAGAAAAGAAGTGTACAGATGACTATATGGATGGGATTAGGGTGAAGGTAAGGCAGCATGGGTAATGATGGAATGAGACTGACCATTAGACTGGCTGAGCTGTTTAATCCAAATACACCTCTGTGCATATCTTTATTAGACTACTGAAAACTATTTTCAATTAACCCTGTTTAATTCAGTGCATGATTATGTGCCCCCCCCCCCCCCCCCCCCCCCCGGCTCCAATTCAGTATTACAGTTGTTCCAATTAATCGGTTAACACACAGCCTTAAGCTACCTGCTGTTTCTAGAAATCATAGAACAAAATAAGAAAAGTGGGTTCAGGTAATAAATTGATGCATTTAAATGTTCAACAACAGAAGAAGCCATTTCTCTGTTGCTTCACTTATTCTGCCGTGTTTGGAATTTGACTTTCACAAGCCTTTTGAGAGTGAGTGGTGTGTGTCAAAAGTGCAAAGCTCATAAATCAGTCAATTGAATAGAGTCGTGAAAGGGTAAGATTTTTACCTTTCCTTTTCCGTTTCTTTCCTGAAGACATCTTTCTTGCAGGGCTTACATTATGACAGCTGCCTTGCTAATTTAAAAAGAATAGAAGTTAAACTAATGTTTGGAACATGCAGGATTTTGCTCTGATTTTGGATGACAACCAAAATGCTTTGAGATTCAGGAGTGAGGGTTTTTCTTTGTGTGTGTGGTTTTGGTTTGGTTTTGTGGTTTTTTTGGGTTTTTGGTGTTTTTTTTTTCACCAGTAACCTTCTCCCATTAATTTTTAATGTCAAAGCTGGAACTGGATTTCCATGTTGTGGTTTATGTTCTGGAGGTCACAATGCCCCCCTCTGTTCTTATTTTAAAATCTTTTTCATGGAAACTGTTCTGGCCCCTGCAGTCCAATGTGAGCCTGCAAGTGATGCAGGGTTACATTAGAATCTGACTTCACTTTAAGTAATCGTATGTCTGCAGAGTATGTCATGGGTGACACTGAAAACGTAGGCTGAGTGGCAACCGCAGGAAGAACCATAAGGGTGGTTTGGCAAAGTGCTGGCTTGTTAAATCTAGTTTGCTAAACCCGAGTTGTTTTAGTTTTAACAAGTGTTACTGACATTGTCACTAATTCCTCCAATTACAGCTGTTTCATTCTAATTGCCAGTGCACCTCTGATCATAGTTTTTCATCTATTGATACTTCTTTGGTTTATAGAGCAATTGTTTCACATTTCTGTAAAGCATAATTTGACAAATGCTGCTTACACAGTAGAGAAGAAATGAAACTCATGTGATGCTCAGATGTCTATTCTTAGAGACTGTCAAGAGAGCCTGTGTTGGCAGCTGCAGCCATGGGAGCAATAATTATAACAATGCATTACAAGAAGCAACGAGAAGGAAAGTTACAAACACTAATCTTTGGCATCCAGTATGCTGTCATTACATAGCCTTGCTCTGATATTTAAACTTACGTCTGTTTCACATTTATCTTTCATGTGTTTATAAACATTGTATTCATTAACACTTGAAGGAGATTAAGTTTCCAGGCAGAGAGCATCTTCAGTGTTTGTGTAACACACAGTGTAGTTAGGTACTGGGATTTCTGAATACTACCATGATATTGTTGCTCTTAAAAAAATTGTTCTTCTGTATCTTACTGCAATGAAAATCATGTGTGGCAGTAAAAACATATTAATTTAAAAAGCCGTATTTAATTCCAGCAACTGGATGTACGATCAGCTAGCCCTGCTCTTTTAAGAAAATATATAACATTACCTTTAAAATACTACTTTCCTGTAAAGATAAAGTTTGAAAGTCCAACTAAAACCTGTGTGAGAATGGAACATGGAAAGTTGAAGTGCGGTAAGACTTTTTGCTTGCTTTTTACTTGCTCATAATTTGGATAGTAAGGGACTGTTTATTTAAAGGCATTATGAAACTTCTTCATCCTTGGGTGAATGGATGAGATCTTTCCAATATGACTTCAAAGTCAGACTTAAAAAACCTGTCTTAACACAGTCCAGCAGCACTGCTAAGAAAACATGACTCAGTCCTGACAAGTAACACAGGTGATGCAAGAACATCTTAAACTAGTTGATGTGCTTAACTACTGACTTCTAAAACAGTCAAGATTGTAGCTCTGTCCTTTCGGGTAGTATTAAGTCTGCAACCTATTACCACCATATTCAACACTGGTACTTGTTGTAAGAAAGATCTGTCCTCAGAGCTGTTGGTGATGATTAATGGTTTAAGCTAGTGAATTCTGCTTTACCACTGGGAGACACTAAGAGTGGGCCAAAGGTCAGTTACTGCAATGTAGTGGATGTTTATTTATAGCAATTCACTTGCACTGGATTCCACAAGTCCTACAGACTTCAGCTTTTGCATTCAAGAAGACCAAAAAAAATCTGAAAAAAGTTAGTGTGCAGTGTTTTCAGATTTTTGAAAGAAAAAAAGGGCGTTTTTAAAAGCCAAAATTAATGTAAAATTTAAAGATTCAAAATCAATAGAGAAGTTCATAGTGGGTCAGCCTATAACTGCGTAATGCAAACAGACTCGTTGAACGATGCTTTCTAACATTTCTTGTGCTCTGCGAATACTCATGTTTCATCAAAAGACTTGGTAAAATAGGCAAGCTATATAAGATCCTAAAGGCCTATCTATATCCATGGTTTATTTCAGACTTTTTATGCTGGGAATAAATTTAAGGGTTATGGAGTCTCATAATACCTCTTTGCTGTCATGCAGTCCTCTAAGGCAGAAACTAATAGCTGGAGTACTTCCACTAATCCTCTGTGTAGAAGTGTATTCCAGAAAGCCAAGGAAATGCCTTCCATTGATAGATCCCCAGAGTCTCAAATCTTTGGAGATCAAACTTAATTTAAGCTCTGCTTAAAAAATAGTATTAGGGCAATACAAATTAAACAATATAATATGTTCTCGAGGTAAAATGCTAATGCACCCTGCATTTATGTATCTGTTTGCTCACTAAGCTTTTTTTCATGGCAGACACCTTCGAAAATAGAGCTGTGAAGTGGTTTGTCTTCAGTTAGGGCTCGAAGAGTCCGCCTGAGATGATGGCTTTTTAAGCTGGATGCTGGACAAACATGCACCGAGAGGCAGCCTCCTGCCTCTGAAACCAGCAGCTAGCCCAGCTGAACAAAACAAGTAAAGGATAGGAAAAGTAATACTGTCACACTAATAGCTAGGGAAGCCAAGACCAAACAAGAAATTTGCAGTAGAGCAGAGAACTGAACTTGTAACACTTATATCCTGTGTCTTTAGGTACAACATTATTTTTCCTCTTGATTAAAGTCTGCAAATTCATTTCACTCACTGTCATTTATTCACTTTAGTTGTGAACTAGTACCTACTGAATACAAGAGGAAAAAATTCCCTGCCATAATTTGACTTTGCTATTTTGCTTTTTTTTTTTTTTTTTTCCTCTTGGGTTCATTCTAAAAGAGAAAATTATATAATGAAGGGAAAATGCTTCTTTGATTTTCAGGCTCTTTCTTAGAAAGGAGTTTGTCATGTGAACATCTATATGTAACAATTTTCTGTTTTGCTGTAATAGCTATGCTACACACAACGGTAGCCAGATAAAGACTTGTAGAAAGCCAAAGAGGTCAGAATAGGGTTACATGGTATGCTGGAGGCGAGGAAAATTAACTAGTGAAAATTAGGTTAATAGGAAAAAGGTTCTCAGAAGCTGTGAATAGTTTGTGTGCAGTCAAATATCCTTTGAAGAGCTGCTCTATTATGACTCATAGTGGCAAATTCAATTTTGTGGTATTTTTCTTGTTCATTGTCTTAATCTATTTTCTGTAATTTATGAAAAAGAAGAAAAGAAAATGTCTCATTTTCATTATGGACATAAACATGAAATATTAGGTCCAAAAAACAAATCCAGAAATATGTGTGGTATCTTTTATTATAAGCTGACAACAGTTTAAAACGTATTTGGGGTGAAGTATGAGGAAGAAAATTTCTTTCCAGTCCTTGTAGAATATGGAAAAGAATCAAGCTTCCTAGTGTAAGGGATCTCTGTCTGTCGTGTTTTGTATAACCCATGAATGAAATCAGTGATGTGGCTATTTCCCTTTTCCTGCTTTTGTGAACTGCACTCTAAGCTTATCCACATTCTTTGCTTCTCCTGCTTACAGTGAAATCAATTTTTATTTGATTTTCTTTAATCACAGTGCACATTTAGACTTTTAAAAATAACAAGACATTATATAAAGGCTATTTTTTAGCGTTAATTGAGGCTTTTGAAGTGTTTAGGAGAAAAAGTTGACTGAGTCACACAGATCTTGTTTACAGAGCTAGCGAAAATTTTTTTTTTTAAGACTTTGAACAGGAAGCTATCAGCATACTTTTAAGTCAATATCTCTTATGCAAAGTCCATAATGGGTTTAGCTATGTATGAGTGATGTATGAATATGTATGAGTTTGGAGTGGCAACGCTCTACTGGCATGTTTCAGTCTTGTTTTAATCTATCTAATTTTGGTAACAAACCCAGGGAAATATGCCAAGACCAAATAGCAGCTGCTAGGAACTCTGGGTAAGCAGTCTGATAGGTAGTCTGTGACATGGCTGCTACGCTTTTTTATAATGCACCTGTGTGGAGATGTCAAATTATAGTTGCACAGACAATTTGCCATTCTGCAGCTTTTAACAAATGTTTAGATTTCACACACTTGTGAAGTTAGTTTCAGACTCAATTTTGAAGTAACTGTATTGAGAAACCCTCCTGGAAGGACATTTAGAATCCCCTGTCATACTCCTATCTGCAACGGTTTCATTAGAATTGGCGCAACCCAATTAAAAAAGTTAAGCTACAGCACTGGTGACCATCACTTACCAGTCTTCAGAGGAAGAAGGCAGGATGATTTTCTCCTACCCGCCACTGCCTTGTCTTTTTATGGTCTTCTCATGACAACTCTATCCAGCATATTTCTTGCCATGACTGAAACACATGGAGTGGAAGCTGCTTTCGGATGCTTATAAAGGGGCTGCCAGTTGTTTCCTGAGTTTGCAGTCTGGCTTTTCGCACCCTGTGGGAGTTGCATCATCCTTTTAACATGCTTTCTTTTTGATGGTCCCCCTAAAGACCAAGCAAGTTAATATGACTCAAAGTGGCTATTTCAGCTGGAGTTTTAGCAATGGTTGTCTCTGAAGGAGATCCATCTATTCTATTCATCAGCCTTGAAACAGAAAATTATAAACTTCTACTTTTGAGTCATGAATAAAGCAGAGGTGGTGTTCAGTGGATGAAGTGCTTCATGTCTAGAATGTTTGAAATCACATGTGTTTTGTTTTAAATGTTGCCATGTCTTGGCTTTGAGCCCTTGGAAACCCAAGACTGATTATGTACAAGAAAACACACTGTTGTAAAATCTGTCTTTGAATGCATAACCGAATCGTAATCCAGCCTTCAGTTTTTAAATCTAGTTGTGGTTCTTGTAAGCACAATTGTGATTTGAACCACACAACCTTGGAGATCCAGATAATGAAAAACATGTATAGTCAAATCCTGTCAAAAGTGAATGCAAAAATAAGAGAGGAGAGTGTGATAAAGTTATGAATGTTTGCTCATGCAAATAGTGTGCTCTGTTTGCCACTGCTATTCATTTTTGTGTCTTTCATTATTGATTAAAACATTCTACAAAGGAAATTGTCACAATTGTTATTGTTTAGCAGAAAAACTGAGAAACATACAGGGTGTGTGTTACTTGAGAAAGCCCAGACCAGCAGAACAAATGAATGCCTTTTCTTTCATTGTGTCCTTTGTACCAGTTAATATGCCTTCCAATAGCTGTGAGTTCACCAATAGCTATGGTAATAGTAATTGCATGATCTAATTTTTTCAGAAGTAAAACGTTGAGGATAGAGTTGCTAATGGCAGATAGTCCACATGCCATTCAGTAAAGTGTTTCCTGCACAATGTAAATACTCAGTTTCAGTTCCAGTCTATCCTCAAATTGATAATGCACTAATTCAAGGTGAAATAGAACTGATTTACAGCAACAAGAAGGTGAAACGGTTGGCAGGTGTAATGCACGGGGTAGAGATTCAAAGTAGCAAA